TGCTGCATAGAGTGGAGCAGAACTCAGGGAAGCAGGCTCACTGCTCCTGCTCTGGAACCATTGAAGGGGCCCCACTTAACAATCTTTTAGGCAATTTGGGCATCGTCAACCTGTCTGGCTACTTTCTGCTGAGTGGGATACTGCATTCTTGGGGGTATTTTACATCAACATTTCAGGGGGTCTCAGTGATTCAAACCACATGAATTTGCAATGAATCCACAGGTTCTCATCCTCTGTGGAGACAAAAGCAGAACCTCTTTTCCAAAGCATCAAATCCTTAGGCCCATATTTTAAAGTCAAAATACCTTTCTTAGCAGTTCCAGAATCTAATGTCTTTCTCCAGTGCAGAACACAGAAGACAACACAATCAACACAATAGCATACATCTCTACACAATTCTATCTTTCTGAGGCCCTCAATTCACCTTCCTGCCTCCTCTTTATTGCTTCCCTACTGGCCAGTCTTCCAGAGGGCACCCCTCAGAGCGTCTCTGGGGATGAAAACACACATACTCCTTTTAATCTGACTTGGCTTGTTCCCAGTCTGGAACATTTAAACCCCCTCCCGTAATAAACCAGGGGCTAACTTGAGCTATTGTTTGTACAAAATCTTTGGCTGTCTTCCTTGTTACTTCCGTGCCTTGTTGCTTTAAGAGTTTCAGTTGCTTTTTGAGGCCTTCAGTTTACCTTCCCGCCTCTTCTTTATGCTTGCTAGTCTTTTGGAGGATGTCCCTCAGAGTATCTCTGGGGATGAAAAATAAAAACACTTTACCTTCCCCAATACGCTGCTCAATTGAGCCTGCAGAAGGAGTGACCCCCCTTTTCAGATCTCAGTGGGACCTCCACTTGCTGTGGCCACCGGGGCCTGGATAGCTGAGACTGGGGACGTGTGTGTGCACGGATTGAGACACCGAGGCTACTTTTCAGGTGGAAGAACAGCAAGCTTTATTTTGCCCTGACCTAAAGCCTTTTCCACCTCTACTGCTTCTGTGGAAAATGTCCTGCCAGAAAGAACACAAACATTCTTGTCAATTATAGACCACAAGGAAGTTCCTCTGTCCTCCTCGGGGAGTGAGGGCAGCTAGATCACAGCATTTTTAGCTTCCATCTTGCTACTCTGGGTCCTAAAGGAAAGTCTATAGTTCTACCCCAGACTCTTTGTCACAGACCCTCAACTCCAGTTGCTGTAGTTCATGGCACCATCAACTGCAAAAGTCCCTGCTGGGTCCCTCATCTCCTCTTCTTTCTGGTTTACTTCTTATTGCAAACTGAGAAGGCTGGACTCTTGGTCCATCTGGCCACTCACCCAGCGTTTAGAAATGGCTATGTTATAGACACTGTTTTAGATAAAATCCCTTGTCCTTTCAGGGTTTCTAAATGGGATTTGTGTGAGTTCCTCTAATGCTTGTTTCTTTGGTCCTTAGAAACATCATTCTGTTGGACCGAGAGTTTAGAGGACAAAAATGAATATTTAGATCTATGATTCATTGAATTACTCTAATTTTTTTATGATTTTTTTTCCTTTCTTTTGGCTCAAGGTCATATTCAGAGCTCTCTTTATTTTTATTTAATGTGGTTATTTTGTGTTCTGTTCTTCCAGATTTGACTTTCTAATTAAATTTCACCCAGATAGATGGGAAAATGGGTTCACCCTCCTTAGTTGCTCTGGGGAGTGGGAAGGGGCTTTTATAATAAGGCTGTTGGGGTGGGGGAAGGGATCACAGCTGGTAGTAAGGAAGAAGAGTCATGCATGCATAAATGAGACCAGACCACCCTGGAGCTGGGGGAGGGCTGCCTGTCTAAACTGTGAGCCTGTGTGAGGCAGGGCAGCTCTGCAGGCACCTAAGAAGGGACCTTTAACCTTTTCCAAGACGTTTATGTCTCCAAGGTGCTGGGGTTGTCGATGTTGGGGGAGACAGGACAATTTCCGTTTTAATATGAATACGTCAGTCAGTCTGATGCTCTCTGCTAGACGAATCGACAGCAACCCATCCTAAATAATCTCTCTCTTAATCTTTATTTCTCCAAATTCCTGAAGGAGATGGGCATTCTTGTTCTAACTAGAAAAACAAAACCCATGGCGAGGAGAATTTTGAAACAATACTGCTCATCTGGACATTTTGGTGGGCAGCATAGAAATATTTTGTGGGGTGGATAAATTTGTAGGGAAGAATTGTGGGCCATCCAGCACTTTGCAATGTCAAGAAACCGACTCAAATAAAGCAGCCTGTCCCTCTCCCTAAGGAAGACACCCCCACCCCCTGCAAGGTCATTTGTTAACTCAGGCCCTGCCCTAGATGAGGCCCCTTATATCAGTGTCTTTGTAAGGGGGGGGCACACAAACCCACAGAAAACAGTCTCTGTAAGTCCACAGACAAAGGAGGCTGTGCAAACATTTGCAGGCTTTTTGCTCCAGAGCTGAGATTGACAAGGTGATCATCTGCTGCTGGCTCATGATCCAGGCAGGGGTGGTTGGGGCAGAGTGGCAAGGACATGCTGCCTAGCGGAATATTCATGACTTGGAGCTGTTTTCAGAAGACAGGCAGGCTCAGCTTTCCGTGGATCCGGAGTGTGGCAAGGACAAAGGAGTAGGCTGATGGCAGCAGAGGGGAGAGGTTGGGAGTCAATGGTACCCTGTTTGACAGTTAGCGGATGAGTTATGACGATGGCAGTTACTGTTTTGCAGGAGCACGTGCGACACTGCGCTGGTGGCGTGTCCTAGTCAGGACTCTCTGGGTTGCCAGGGCCAGAGGGAGTTAGGGGATGTTTGGAACATGTGCTTGGATAACCAGGGTTGTGTTGGTGTCTAGCACGAGGAAGACCTGCTCCTCCATTCTGCCTGAGGATATCAGAGAGCTACACTTTCTGGCACAGCCTGCCCAGCTGTTGGCCAAGTGGCTCCAGGTGCTTCGGGTGGTACCCCTATTTCATCACCGCAGAGGGAGGAGGTTTAATGTGATTAGTGGGCTTGACATGCTCCCCTGTATGTAACTCCCCAGCAGGAACCTTCCCTTTTCCCCTCCCTAGAAACCCTTCCACCCTCAAAAGTCCTCAGGAAAGGAGGTGGGATGCTTCCTCCAGAATGCGGAGGACATTGAAGTCTTCAGGGACTAGAGGATGCAGGAAAGAGGCCGGCCATCCTGAGGGTGTGATGTCAAGATGATCTTAACCTGGGATGCAGGCTGGTGCAAAGATGGAAATCCCAAGAGCTTTGGTGGAGGAAGCCTGTGCTCGCTCCAGTCTGAGTACTTCCAGAAGAATGCCATGGACACGTGGGATAGGGGCAAATTTTATAGAGAAATGGCGCCCGGGTCACCTTGCATCCCCTTGAATTGAACCTAGGAGTGCCCACCCTGTGAAGGGCGAGAAAGTAGCCAAGAGAGGGAGCTAGCCCCTTTGGGTTAGAGTGGTTGTGAGACAGGACTGACAAAGGGCCAATCCAGAGGAAGGAAGCCACGCCTGAGTAGTTGGCAGAGAGAGGCTGGGTTTCTGCTGGAAGCAGAGTGGGGAGCCTGGGTCTGCTGGAGCCTCCGGTGGTCCTGAAAGGGTAGCATTCATTAAATAAGCAAAGCTGGGACTTAAGGTCCCTGAAAGAGTCTGGGGTCAAGTTACAGGCCTGAAGCTGACATGCCCCAAGCTTTTTGTTTCTGATTTTGTTTTGTGGTGTGAGCTAGTGCAGCCTGGGCTCTCTGTCATCTGCTGCCGAAAGTGCCCTGTGTAATTTGTGAAGGAGTGCGATTTGGAGTTGGTACAGTACTGTCAGAGTCTGTGGGGGGAAGGAAGAGAATGTTGGGTAGGATGCTTGGACTGTGGAGGTCCTTGAGGTAAATCACTCCAGGTAGGGATTGAAGCGGGGGTGGGGGTGGTGAGTTTCATGCTCAGGTATTGGGGAAGGCTGTCAGGAAGCATGAGGAAGCAAAGGATGGTGTTGCATTTGCGTGGGGGTAATAAGGCAAGAGAGACAGCATGAGCTAGTAGCTAGTGTCCTCGGGCAAGTGCCAGCCGGCCATCAAGGCTTCCCGATGAAGAAGGCATTCCAGATGACTGGACCACGGGGGTAAATGGAGTTGAAGCCAGGGAAGCAGAATCTCGTGAGACCTGCTGATTTGAGATGGAAATCGGAGGTAGATAGAAATATGGGTAAGGTATAAAGTGTTACTTAGTTATTTAGTTATTATCGAATGAGTTAGGGAAAGTCAAGCGATAAACTCCCTCCGAACCAGGAAATAGTGGCTCATTGCACCTGTTTTGCCCAGGGTCAGTTGAGAGAGACACACAGGTGTGTAGCAGTAGACCTGGAACTGCCAACAAAAGCTTGGCAGTTGCCGTTGGTGAGATCCCTCTCTCCAACATTTGCGAAAAAATGACCCGCAAACACCAGATCAAATGAAACAACGGTGCTGTCTTTATATTCTAACAGCTTCACAGAACTAGCGCTGCTCAGATCTTCAGCGGGGGCCTCGGGCCTGCAGGAACTGCCCTCCTGGACTCCCGGGTCGTGTCCTCTCCAGGGTGCCTGCAGGCCTTTAGGGACAAAACTACAGCGAGGTCTAGAGTAGAGACAAGCCGGATGTGGCCCGCTCCGGAAGAGAAGCGCGGGACAGGCGCGAGGGTGGAGGTGGTACGGTGGCTAGGATCTTGACAGTTTGACCCACGCGACATCAGGAGACCCACGTCGGCGACTAGATCTTCGGTGCAGGGTTAGGCACGCAGTCCCAAAGCACCCATGTCAGAGCCGGGGCGGGTGTGCGGCCGTGTCCAGGGCCCTCGCTCCTTTCCTAAGTCCGGCAGAGGGAGGCGCACAGGCCCTGTGCGCTCCGAGTGCGAGTGATTTCCACGCCCCAAGCTGCGTGGCCCGAGCTTGTCCTGAGGGTCGTTTGGACAATCCGAGGCCGCTTCCAAGGCCCTGGGCGCGGGGCGCCGCAGGCTGGAGGTCCCGCACGGACGCCTCCGGGGCGGAGCTCCAGGGCGCACTGAGAGCGTCGGCCCGGCAGGGGCGTGGCGAGCCCGGCAGGGGGCGCTGCGGGTCCCGGCGCCCCGGAGGCCTGCGCGCGCCACCGTCGCCTGCGCTCCCGCCAGGAGGAGCTGGCTGTGGTGGAGAACCCTACGCGCAGCAACGGAGGCCGGGACCTTAGGCGGTGAGTGCGGCGCGCGCCGGGTTCCGAGCGGTTCCGAGGCTCCCGGCTGGGGGGCTTGTGTCTAGGGTCTCGGGTGGCGACCCCGGAGGGCTGTCTTTGATGCCGGGATCGGGAGGCAGGGGCGGGCTTCCAAGCAGCGGGTGTGAACCCCACCACCAAGCTCTTTCCCTTATCTACGGGCTCCCCAGTTCCCACCCCTCCTTGTACCCCTCCCCGCGCCGGGGGTCCCCGCCCTCCGACCTGCGTCCTCTTTCACAACCCGGCACCCTAGAAGCCTGTTTGCACACCCCCTTTCTCCCGCAAGCCCTCCCACGCCTACCATCTCCTGGGTGCCAGCCGCCTGCCTCTCTTCCTTCCAGCTTTGCTCCTACTGTCCCCGCCGCCACCCTTGCGGGCTCCCATTCTGCCCCCGTGCTCGTACCGCGCGATTGCAGCCGGAATCAAAGCTCTGGGATCCCCCTTCTCCCAGGTGTCCCGAACCTGTGGTGTCCAGGTAAAGGCGACCACAACTTCGAGGCCTGCCCCGGGGGTGAGGCTGATTCTTCTCTATCTACCTGCTGCCGCCGGCGCCGGAACCCTGGGCCCAGCCGAGGGCCACTCTGCGTGTAGGCTAAGCTTGCTCAGTGCTCTACTCAGGACTGTGTGGTTACTTGGTTGCTTGCTTTTGCTCGGCGAACTTGGATACATACGTTGCTATTTCTAAAAGGAAGCCGCCTTTGCCACACACAAATATGGAGCAGGTTTTCTTGGCTGCGACGGCTGGCTTTCAGTTGTACCTGTGGATGAGGAAGGATTAGCGATGCAGAGGGAATGGAGCCATATCCCAACTCCCACCCACCCACCTCGGCTCTGGGAAGCACAGGGGAATATGACTGGCCTCTCCTGGCCAGTGTCTTTGTGGAAAGGCAAGAATGCCTTCTAAACATTCAACAGGTAAAACCAGTTAAGACTTTGGAATCAGATCTGGTGTGGATAGGGACGTCCAAGAACGTCCACCCTGGGAAAGTTCCACTACTTAGGGACATTTGTTGCTCTTTGCAGCAGGCCTCAGCGTGGACCCCAACTATGGAATAGACAGCGCCGAGCCCAGCCTACCCTCTAGAACTGTCGGTCGGGCTTGGCAGCAGCCCCCTCCTCAGAGATATTGGTGCCCTGTCGGGGACATTTGTGGGAAGAGGATTTACAGCAGATGGCTTGGAAACCCTCCTGGTCCCTGGAGGGAGGTGGAGATGGCAGGGACAGCCTGAAAGCCAGTGTGTGCGTTCACTCGTTCCCTTCTGGGCTCTTTCATTAAATCTTGGATTAAATTAATTGCCTATTCAGAAAAAAAGAACAAGTAAAGGGTATTTCTCTTTTAGGATTGGCTCTTGGCCAGTCCACCCTTACAGATACCTTGGAAGGCTTCAAATGAGCACCAGAGGCAGGGCGGACCACCTGGGGCAGAGCGCTCTGAACTGTGACCTGCTCTAGATGTAGCTCTGTTTGTTCTTTGATGGCTCCATTATTAGTCCAATATTTCTTTACCATTGAACAGATAACTGGCCAGAGACACAGCGGGGCTCAGTACGGCCCTTCTGAATGTCACAACTTCTCCTTGTCCTCCCAGCGATAGGTTGTTGTCAGGAACACCTGCAGGATTGGGGTGGGAATATCTTTGTGACCTTAGGACCAGGCCAGGTGCCCCCTGCGGGGGTACTCAGTGTTTTTTATTTTTGTTTTGTTTAAAAGAAAAAAAAAAGCCCAGGTGCATGCCTTTCTTTAAGCCCAGCACTCGGAAGACACAGGATCTCTGAGTTCAAGGCCAGCCTGGTCTACAGAGTGAGTTTCAGGATAGCCAGGGCTACATAGAGAAACCCTGTCTCAAAAAAAAAAATCCCTTCTTGCACCAGTCTTGAGGCCACAACCCTTGCTCTCAGAGGTCTCTCAACTCCACAGGTTTGAATATATGTGTCTATAAATGTTAGTCTTTCTTGCTAGGCACAGATTCGCCATGCGTTGGGCGGACCGGAGGTGTGAAGGGACAGAGAAGGAATAGAAAGTCCAGTCTCTAGGTCAGTCAGGTTTGACAACTGGTCCTGTCTCTCAGTGAAGACTGGGGATTTAAGAAAGGAAATGATTGTCTGTACTCTAGAGGTGAGGGGGGCCACGATGGGCACTCTAGGGATACCCAGAGGCTGCCTACTGAGAAGTAAGTACTCCAGGTTTATCCTGCAGGCCCTGCGCCGTGAGCCTGGCTTCATATGTTATTCCTATTTGTTTGCTTATTGATTGATTGATTCTATGTGGTCTGAAACTCTGTGTAGACTAGACTGGCCTCTAATTTATACAGATCCACCTGCCTCTGTGTCCCAAGTGCTGGGATTAAAGAGCTGTATCATCCTGCCTGGTGGGCCTGGCTTCATGGACATCCCCTACTCCTGCCTGCTGATGGAGGAAGCCGCTAGGGAGCTAGGGTCCCTTGCCAAGCTCCCCCAGCCTCTTCAGGTTGTGCTGTTCTCACTCTGGTGGGTGCTGCCCACTCCAGAACTGGTTCCCGTAGCAGCCTAGGAGTGTCTCTGTGTGCACATTGCTGCCTGTGTGTTTCATGGCTCTGCTGGGGGGAGAAGCTCCAGTGTTGAGGGATGGTCCTTAAGGGGTGACTTTGCCCTAAGCAGAGAAAGCAAAGTTAGCTCTTCTCTCCTCGTGAAGAGCGTTTTGAGGAAGAGCCCACCTAGGGCCCCAGACTGCAGGGCCTCTGTCTACTCTCCTTGGGAAGCTGGGGACAGCAGGAATTCAGAGTTCTACTTGGTCGTGGGAACTTGTTCTTCCCTGGTTGTCATTAGCTTATCTTTCCCACCCAGAATGCCTCTGTCTTCAGGTTTGGCTCTTACCCAGAATTCCTGCAGCTGGTAGGAATCTGTTTTCTAGAAGAGATTTAATTGATGCTCGCAGTTTGTGAGTGAGGACTGGAGAGGGAGAGAGACGCCACTATATGCAGGGGACAGGGGAGACGACGGCAGGAGAAGAGCAGGATCCTGGCAGTGCAGGAAAGGAATGTCCCAGACAGGACTCTGTAGGTAAGAAGGCTGCCTGCTTTCAGCTGTAGGTGTTACCACTACAAGCAAAGTCACTGAGACAGAAAAAAGATGAGCTGTTGGTCTGAGGATAGGTGTGTTGGGCTCACTCTTCTGCTTCTTAGAAGACCCGGGAAGCCATCTAAGAGATGGCCCATGACCAGATGGAAAGACCGTTGGCTGTTGTAAACTTTGTGTCAGGAGTGTGCCCCTGGGGATGTGGTCCACTGAGCCAGGTCGGTCTGGGGTCTGGCCTGGGGGAGGCACCTCATTCCAGAGATGCCGCGGGTATTGTCTAGAAGAGCAGCTGCGAACCGGTGTTCAGTGAGCGAAGGAAAGAACGGTCTTCTAGTAGGAGAGGGAGGCAGACTCCCAGGCATCCATCTTGGACCCGACTAGGACGCAGGGCATACACACTCACATTTCTGTTGGCAAGGCACCCTTTTGTCATCTCCCTGTCCCCCTCCTTGTCATTATGTATGAACAGCTTCCTTAGGGAGAGCCGTGACCAATAGCATGGAAACCAGACCTTCAAAACACAGATGAAGGTCAGAATTACTATGCTTGGTTTTGACCTCCCCTCCCCACCTCCCTCCCCTTCACTTTGGCTTGTGGATAAAGCCATCATTTATACTAAATTTATACATACCTCCCTTTGATTTTTAGAGACCTCCCTTTAGAACTAACAAGCGGCAGCTTGCTTCCCCAAGGTGGTCTCATTCTTGGATGCAGTACTGACCTGTAGAGATAAAATGGTATTATTTCGATCACTTTAACTAGAAAATTAAATATCTTGCTAATTTTATTATTGCGATCGCAGAAGAGTCTGAAGATGGAATAAAATATTGTTAAGTCGTTGCTTATAAAACCAGAGAGGTGAGTTGCACTAAAGTCATTGAAGTTGTAGCAGAATTGTTTAAAAGCTTAGAAGTAAACTTGTATGTTTTTAAATGTTACTACTAAAATGTATGGAGATTTAAATTTGAACTGCCTTAAAAATATAGACCAAAAAAATAGACATTTGGGGAAGTACGGAAGTTTTTAGTACCGTACAAACATTGAAACCCTCCATAAATTCTGCTCTGTGTTGAAATGCGGTGTGATGGTTAGTTTTGATTGCCAAGTTGACAGGATCCAGAAGTGCCTAAGACACAAGTGTCTGGGCATGCCAGTGTGGAGTTACTGAGATGGTCTCAATTGAGCTGGGAAGACCCACTTTAACTGTGTGCAGTGCGGCTGTATGGGCTGGGGTCTGGGACTGCATGAACGGGGGAGAGCAAGGTGAACATTAATGTTCGCACTCTCTGCTTCTGACACCACGGATGGATGGCCTCCCTTGGCCCAGTAAAGCCAAATGAACCCTCCCTCCCTTAAACTGCTTCTCGTGAAGGACTTGGTCATAGCAAGGGAAGTAATAAATGTAGGAGAAATGGGACTTCAGGGGGTCCAAAGGCTTCCTTCCCTTAGAACTGAGTGTAGTGGCGCTCTCTCTCTCTCTCTCTCTCTCTCTCTCTCTCTCTCTCTCTCTCNTCTCTCTCTCTCTCTGTCTCTCTCTCTCTCTCTGTCTCACACACACACACACACACACACACACACACACACACACACACGTCTTCCCTTAGAAGTCAGCTCTCTTTAGCAGAGAATACTTTATTGATTTGAATAATCTTGCTACAGTTGCTGGATAATCAGCTGTGATCACACAGCCATTTGGAGTTTGCAGTTGGCCTCTTATGTCAGGTATAAGTGGGTTTTGACTCTCCTTAGACCATTCTGCAAGTCAAACAAAGCAGCCTATGTACTGTTGACTTTCTGGAAAGATTTCCCTCGTTTGTGGCTGTCAGATTCTCTGTGGATGACTGCCTTCTTCTTGAGGACCTGGGTTCGGCTGTGGAATTCAACACAGTGCGGTAGGTAGGAGTGGAGGCTAGAGCCCGGAGTGACTTT